GTCAGACTGACAGCTTTGTAGTTCCTCGGGTCTTCCTTCCAGCACTTCTTATAGATGGGCATCACGTTTGCTAGCCAAAATGTCAATAAACTGAGAGAAGTAAGAGGCTACCAGGATAAATGTAACTTTTCTTTTTTTCCCCCAGCTCTCCCTACTGGTTATAGTTTTGCATTACTAATTGTTACCATTGAGTGGAATTTCTTTCTGTTGCAGCTGTTAAGAAGTTCTTTGGTGAACAACAGGACACAGGCCAAGGTGGCAGAAGAGCTGGGTATGCAAGAATTTGCCATCACTAATGACAAGACAAAAAGACCTGTAGCTCTTCGAACTAAGACTTTGGCTGATCTCTTGGAATGTGAGTTAATTTAGTTATAACAACTTAGTGCTTATGCAACTTCTTTTTTCTAGGGGCTTGTTTAGGAAAGCTGTTAGAAATCCCCCAAATCACTATTAAAAATATATGTTCAGGTTTTCAAATGAATTATGTTTGTACCTCTAAAAGCCAGATTTTTGAACAGTAGCCTAGATTTTTGAACTCTGTATAAAAAGAGGTGTAATTGCAGATACAAAGTTGTAGGTTTAGAATTTTGAGGGCCATGGTGACCAGGTCAAAAATATGTCTAGAATGTTAGAGCTTGTTAATCTACTTTGAGTTACTTAACACCAGTTTCAGTGTTTCATTAATATGGGCTTGTCACTGTTGGAAGATAAAATAGTTCCTTCACCAGTTGGATATTTCCGTGGTTCATTTTACTTCATTTTAGGAGGTTTCAAAGTGGTCATTCCACAAGAGGAAAAGCTACATGGAAATTAAATTATATTTATTACATCTATGGAAGTTTGTGCTACCTTCTTTTCAAAGAAAGTAGAAGCAGTGATAAATATTCTGCAAAGAAAGTTAATTTGTATCTTGTATACTTTGTTGTATTTTGTGAACCAGTCAGACCCCTTGGCTTTTGCCATATTCTCTAAGACAATGGAAATAGCTCACAAGCAGGAGTGATTTATATCTAAAAATTTCTGATGTTACCCAGTAGTGATGTATTTGTAAGTATCCATGGTCTCCTGGTTAAAATGGGAAATTAGGAGCCAAGTGTTCTTTTTAGCTCTTTAAATGACTGAGTGGATTTGGGTAAATCACTTAATCTCTTGGTCAACTTTATTTTTTCCTGTGTATGCAGGATAATAACATCCTCATCAGGTCACCGCTGTGAAACATAATTGAATGTGTGTTTAGAGTACTCAGAGATACTTGTTTCTAAAACTGCAAGCCATTAATGTTCTCTTTGGATGAGTGACAGTGCCCTTTGTTTTTCCCTAGCTTTTATTGCTGCCCTATACATTGATAAAGATTTGGAATACGTTCATACTTTCATGAATGTCTGCTTTTTTCCACGGCTAAAGGTAAGATCAGTCAAGTCCCTACTTTCCTGCCACTATGTTTTAACACATTATTGCATTTGAGACTCTTACCACAATCTCTCAATCATAAAACCATCTTTGTGAACTTCTTACAGGAGTTTATTTTAAATCAGGATTGGAATGATCCTAAATCTCAGCTCCAGCAGTGCTGCTTGACTCTCAGGACAGAAGGAAAAGAGCCAGACATTCCTCTTTACAAGTAAGAACTGGCATCGTATGGGTACAAGCTAATTATCGGTCTTTCTTGTATATGGAGGAAGATGTGATCAATCACCCTATGTTTTTTCCATAGTCTGGTTTTATTGTGGTTATTTAAGCCCTCCAGTCTCTCTTTGTCTGAAGATGGAAAATGTTATACCAATGTTTTCCAAGCTTTAGGTATTTAAGCCATTACAAGGAAGAATTAGTAAACATTTAATCTTAAACAGTTGCAAGGGAAAGTACAGTTTTTATGGTCAAATGGAGTATTTCATTGGCATCATTCTCTATTTGTTCTTTTTTAATCAGTTAGATACCTGAAGCTGGATAGGATGGATCTCCGTTCTCTCTTTCAGTTGTTAAATAGCATAACAGCTGCTTCAAAGAGACAATAATAAACTTAAGATTGTGTATTGCATCCATATCCATTCAATTAATGTAGGAATGGGTGCAATGTTAGCCTCCAGAAGAAGAGGTAAAGGCTATGAAAGTTCAAGGTGTGTGTTGTTGGTATTATTGTATCAAAAAGGCATGAAGAATGAAAGCTTAAGTGCATTTGCCACATTAACTGAAGTAAAGTTCTCAATGAAATGTAGTGGTTCAGTTATAGTGACAAACAGTGCACTCTAGAATAACACTGCAACTGATGCTCTGCAAATCTAACTCCTCAGTGTCTCTGTATGTGGGCTCACAGCTTTGTCTTGAGTGAGGGAGATGAATAGAAAAGAAACGATTCCTGATTCTTGTAAAACCCACAGAGTATCAAGTACCAAATGTTTGTTTTGTTTTGCTGTGATGATAAATTGATTTTTGTAGTACAGCTTAGAGCTAGTAATACGCTGCTATCTTTCTATTATCTTGTTAAATTCCTTTTCTTGGGGTTATCTGTTTCACTGCAGTCAGTACTATTGTTTTTAAATTTGGGGTGGGTTTTATTTGCTCTTGTCACAGCACACAGAGTACTATAGCTAGATACTTTAAAAACTGATGTGAAATTGGTGCTTCTTCCAAAAAGCAACAAGGTAGTAAACAGAACTCAAGCTGACAATGGGGAGAGATTTGGGACAGCATGAACAGCAGAAGAAGCAATTCACTGCATGTCAAGGGAATTATCTTTTTTCCCCTTTAGATGGTTGTTGATGCATGTCCTAGGCTTCAGCTCAAATGGAAAGTTTGTTTTGTGACAAACTGTAAGTTTTCAGAGCTGATGGAAAATTTCTTTGTACTGTGATAATTCACAGTAGAGAGCTACCATGTCCAATATATATCCTTGTGAAACCTTGCCAACTGCACAGCTCTCAGAGACTAAAATTTTAGTGCACGTAATAATCATATTATGATTATTTGCAATTGCACAGCCATGCACAATTAATATAACTCGATTACAAGTGTTTTCACAGTGTTTAAGCACTTTGTGTTGTGTAGTTTCCATTTTTGCTAATAGGTTAAAGTTTTTCTTTTCCTATGGTGCTCCTGAGTGAACCTGGAGGAATGAATATAACCATTATAAACACGGTGCATTTTAAGTAAATTTCTCCTTTTTATTGCACACTGTATTGGTGATCTCTGGGTTAATGTGGTTGATACAGGCATCTTTCAACCCCTTCTCCACACTCTGCACTAGTTCCACTCTATGTATTGACCAGACTGAAAGCTTGATGATTTATGTGCCACAAACAGATTTTAATAAATCCTGCTTAAATAAATCATATTTTTCTTATTTCAGGACTTTGCAGACAGTGGGACCGTCTCATGCCAGGACATACACAGTAGCTGTTTACTTCAAAGGAGAAAGAATAGGATGTGGTAAAGGCCCGAGGTACAGTGAAAAATAATTCACATGGTGTTAAAGTTTGAGTGTGGTGACAGTGTACAGAACAACTGACCATGGAGATAGACAAATGTGTGATTAGACTTAGAAAAGGAAAGTTACAGAGCCTTCTTCAAGCTATTCTGAGTTTCTGCCTTAGGAATACCTGAAGGGTTCAATATCTGTATAGTTCTGCGTCTTAAGCTTTTCTGATGAACTTGCCTACAAGGTGACTAGCAGTGCTAACCAATTTGTGGCTCTCAGAAACTGCGGAATAGCTTCCAGGAAACAATGACTTTATCTTTGGCTTTGCTACTGGATTACTGTCCAACTTGAGATGGCAAGTTAAGGGTGCAAGGCTCTCATTTTTTTCCCTGATGTTATTACTTTTAGGCATTTTACAATAGTTTCTGAAGTTGCAAAGACTTCAACCATGAGCCCCAAAGACTTTATTTTCTGCTGCCAAATGGTGGTGGTTATAAAAATATCATTGTTCTTATAGCATTCACACCTCTGATTTTGTTTCTTTTTTCTCTCAAGTAAAAGCAAATGTTTCACTGAAGAATGGACTAGAATATTCTCTTAGTGTTATTGATCTAAGTTTAAAAGTATTCTACTGTAGTGCTATTGCTCACGTATTTACGGAAAGGCTGATATATGAATGCACTCCAGGAATTACTAGCTACTGGTTACCCAAAGAGTTTTATTACAGAAGAATAGCTAGTTTTCCACTTTGTCAGAAACTTTAGTTTATTCTGTACGAGTTAAATCTTATGTAACATGTTTTTGTTTGGCTTTCACAGCATTCAGCAAGCAGAAATGGGAGCTGCAATGGATGCACTTGAAAAATGTAAGATATTTGGGCAACAAAGAATAATTTACAGTATACGCCCTTGGTCTTTAGTGAGGTGAGGTGCAGGTTTTGTGGGAGATAAGATTTGAACAGAACATCTGAGCTGAATGCTGTCAGCTTCAGAGCAGCAGGTTTTCCTCTTAGCACTTTGAAGACAATTTTGTAGCAGGTGAAGTTAATATGATACCAACAGTTATTTTTTTAAAAGGAGTTGATCTGCGACAGAGGTTGCAACTTACAGGGAGCCCTGTGCAGTGAATTCTCATTGAGGTTTTCTATGCTTAAATATGTAGTGAGATAAAACTGCTTAGTCTCTAGTAGTGTGGCTGTATCATCCTCTAATGTAGAGGAGGAGGAAATTTACTTCTCAGTTGCCAATTTAGAAAATAAAATTTGATCTCAGATTATACAGTAGACTAGAGAAAAATCTAACAGGCAGATCCCCAGCTAATGTAAGTCTATTTATCTGTTAAGAACAGCTTATATCAGCTGAGGATCCAGTGATCAGTGTATGCATCTCAAAATTACACACAGAGATAGCTAGCATGGGAGCAGTTCTTCATTGCAATGGAGGCTCAGAGTGAGTGTATGCAGACATCTCATGTGAAAGAACTACTTCAGTCAGTTGAGTTAAAGCACCAGGTGTGAACATACTGAAGGCGAATAGATTACATGTGTTTTATGAAGCAGGAGCTCTCTATTCAGAACAAGAAGGGGAAGTACTTTTTTTTTTTTTGAGTCAAAGGAAAGATGTGCAGTTCCTCAGACACCAAAGTTTTTTAATTTGTTATTTCTGCATCTGGAAATCCCGGGGCTTACAAATTTCAGAATACAATGAATCCCTGTAATTCATTTTTTTTTTATATTCATCTGTTAGACATATACTTCTCACTACCAGTAAATTTGATAAGTAGAAAAATGTAACTTCCTTTCTCCACTGAATATCTGCAAAATGTTACTGAAGTTTTCTGAGTGTTTTTTCTTGTGACAGTATTGCCACTCAGAACTGTGATCTTCATCTCCTATTAGTCCAAGTACTTCACAGCTCTTTACTGACATACATATTTGTTTGAATACCATAAGACTTTTAGAGGTCTCTATTCCAACGACCCCTCAAAACAGACCCAACTTTCAAGTTAGGTCATGTTGCTCAGTGCCTTGCCAGTCAAGTTTTGACTGTCTCTAGGGCTGGAGGCTCCACAGGCCCTATGGGCACCTTTCTAGTATGTATATGTTTGAGTGCGTTCTTTTGTTTGGTGGGGTTTTTTTTTGTTTTGATGCATAAGTAGATAACTTCAAATAAAAGTAATTTTCATGTACCTGTTTATATACGATAGCCATGATGAGTTTATTGCATAGATTTCCTTCTCAACATCTCAAACCGATTTATAAACAAACAGGTTGTTACCAAGCTGAGTTCTTCAGAGTTCTTAAAGAATAACCTTACAAGGCACAGTGCTGAAAATCCGATTTTCATTTTATGGTGCACGTGAGCAACAAAATATCCCAGAACTCCATAAACAAAGCACTAGTGCTTTTAAAAACAGCAGCAATTTAAAAACAATTTGCTTTTGTTTAGATTGTTTTCTGGTTTAAATAAGTATACCTCCTATTCCCCAGTTGTAAATAACTGATGAATAAACCTTTTATTCCTGTAGTATATAATAAAAGGAACAAATTTCCCTGGCTGATAAAACAAAACAGTAGAAAGTAATTCTGCTCTGCTGCAAACTTCTTCAGATTATGTGGCTTCTGCACAGTATTCTCTGGCTGCCTGTGACCTGGGAAGAGGAAGAAAATGCTTGGTGTCAAGGGACTCCTCTCTGAGGAGCCTCAGCTGAGCTCTCTCTTTGTAGCCAACTAGGGAGAGAGCAGTCCTTTGCCGAGACATCTCCCAGATTTGTTTATGGCTTTAAAGGTCAGCGTAGTAACCTTTTGCGTTCATCTCAGACACAGGTAGCCAGTGCTGATCCCAGAGCTCTGCGTGATCCCAGCAGGGTTTACCGCCAACTGCAGCCTGTCACATACCCTGCCACCTATTTGTTTTCTGACTGCCTGGAGGGTGCAGGTCTCTGCAGCACAGAGACAGATGAATGTCAGCACCCTGGTCATGCGGAAAATGTCATATTCTGTCAGCTGTGCATGAAATTGATAGCAATCCTGATCAATTATATAAGCTGGTTTTACAGCCTCAGTTCTAACTAGTATACCTACCTACTCGCCAATGGACAAATGTCTGAAATCAGAAGCATCGGTCCCCCTAGCTATTTCTCCATCACCTCAGCCTTGTCTAGTCTCTTTTAGCCAGTCTTCACTCATCCATGCTATTAAGACTATGCTAAGACTGTATTCTGGTACACAGCCAAGCATTAACACAGCTTTGGGCAACCTGGTCTAGTGGGAGGTGTAGGGGAGTTCGTGGTAGGGGGGTTGGAACTAGATGGTCTTTAAGGTCCCTTCCAACCCAAACCAGTCTGTGATTCTATCATTAACTTTTTCAGCAGCAGATTTTACTGCGTTCTATTTTGCTACGCTATTACTTTCGCATTAGGAACCCTGTCGTAATGTGGGGCATCTAGTGGATTCTGTATGGTCTAAAATAATAGTTATAATGGAAACATCTGTACAGTGCTTGAAACCAGTAGCTCATAATTTTTTGGACTGAGAACAAGACAACACTGACAGCATTGACAGTAGTCTCACATTCATTTTTCAGTATCGATCACCTGTTGCTAAGGGAACAGAATGTAAAACCCAGGTAATACCTGGCCATGTTGCTACCAGGATTTTTTACTGTTTTTGTGAGTGTGTTAGATTTGGCAGTGCTTTGTAGCAGGAGAAACAGATGTGGAAATCATAAAGAAACTGAAGTCTTATGATGCACAGCTCTGGTTTACTATGGATTATTAGAAATAAATGAGGAAAAATGATAATAACATTATTCCCCCCTACCCCTAATCTCATCAAAGTTTAAAAAAAAAAAAAAGCTGAGGCTTTCTGTGTTACCATTTTGTTTATTAATGTAAAATATTTCTCCTTGTGTCAGATAACTTTCCCCAGATGGCCCATCAGAAACGGTTCATTGAACGGAAGTACAGACAAGAGTTGAAAGAAATGAGGTGGGAAAGAGAGCATCAAGAGAGAGAACCAGATGAGACTGAAGAAGCACGGAAGTAAAAGGAGGGCACAGAAGCAGTGGCATATTTACTTACTTAATAACTCTTACTATGGCCTATGGAGACCTAACCTAGTTTCTTGCAGATGATGAATGAAGAGTGCCTGTTGATATAAAATAGAAAATCATAATCTCTTCTTTAAGAAAGTGTGTGTGTATATATAGTATTTCTTTAGTTTGGTTTTAAGTGCAGTTTGTTTGGCTTTTTAATAAGATTTGGTTTTAAATACTTTTAATTTTTATGAGAAGTTATGGGATTATTTTTATTATTTTTACTGTCTTGTATGAAGTAATAAAGTATTAATTTCAAAAGCCTGCAAGAGGAAAAGCTGTTTAACAATTGTCTCCTATGTCCAAATGCTGTTTTGTCAGTGACCAGCAAAGTTGTTGCATGAATGCCACTGTGGAGGAGGGAGGTATTAAGAGAAACTAATTCAGGAGAGCACTGAATCATGTACCTAGCTTAAGTTTTGCAGCTAAATGTACTTTACTCTGCTAAACCACAGCCATAAAATTCAGGTCTTTTTATAGAAACTGGTACAGTAATTTAAGCAAAGGAGATATTAAATTTTAATGTGACACATGCGTGTGGAGGGTTGGGGGGTTTTGTCTTTAAATTGGTATTGTAAAACTAAGAAAAAAAAAAACAACAGGTAATTATGGAGCAAGAGAATGACAACATTTTTCATAGAGAACGTACTGAGTTCACATTTACAAGTTTAGTTTAATTCTCAGTTTCTTTCTCTACCAAACTGCTGTCTATTTGATGGATTTCTTTGTCAGGAAGATACCAGTGTGACCATAATAGTCAAATCGTGTATTACAAACTCCATACAGGTACTGTTCCAGATGGGTTCATTGCAAACTAGTTGTATCCAAAGGAGGGCAGAATTTGTCCCCAAGGTATAATTCAGAGGTGGTATTCAGTTTTAAGTCACCTGGTTTCTTTGATTTTCGAAGTCTGTGGCTTCTATTAGACAGACAGATGTTTCTTCTATACACTACACTGAGCAACTAATTCAGCGGTTGTCTGAAGCACCTTTCTGCAAGTGTGCAATAGGCATCCATGAAAGCACTTTATTGCAGGTGCCAAAGTAGACAGAAATGTAGCTGAGAAGTTCAGACTACCCAAATGGCTTCCCAAAGTTTCACTTCTGAGCTAATCTGTATGTATATTTTCATGAGCACATTTTTGTACATATGCAGTGTGAGATGTGCTTAAATGTGTGGGGGTTTTAAAAAGACTTGACCCTACATCACTACCTCACTTCTTCCAGCTTCTAGGATTGCCTTTTCTTAATGGATTGAGGCTTTAAATCCATTTCAGAGGATGAGAGCAAACAAAAAACCCCCACATTCTGTAATTTAGAGAGTGATAATAAACCATTAAAACCTAAAAGGAGGGCATAAAAACAACAAGGTGATGAGCTGCTTTTTGCTGAATGCTGTTGTTCTTGACTTTTGAGAAGTGATTGTAACTTCTTATAGCTTTCATCTTTAAATAAAAAGCTGAAATGCTTCTCAACAACAGCAGGCTTGAAAACCGAGCACCAATAACTCCCCTGCCCTCAAGTCTTTTGTATTTCAGATTCTTTTGTAGAATCGCCCATTGCTTCAAGCAGTAAGTTGAGATGGTGTGTTGGCAGAGGGCTATGGCTAATTGTGTGCACCACTATTTTGTTTCTCCCTCATAAGTGTGACCAGATTCATGTGTTTAACAAGTAGAATGTGCAATGACTTCATTTTCAGGTATATGGTTGCTTTGAAAATTTCTTTCATCGGAACTGGTATCAGTAATGTACCCCAGTGGAATTGTTAGTTGAACATTATTTTCATTCTTCCTATACGTCATTTAACTTTTCAGCTGTAAGAAGATTGTAAGCTTATTCATAAACATTTGCATAAAAATAGATTGAATTTTCCAGATACACCGGTTTGGGGGAGGAGCTCAAAACTGTTCTCTTTTTTTCTTTGACCCAGAAATTCCTTGAAAACAAGCAAACTTTTAAAACTATTTCAACATTCCATTACTGCAGCTAACGAATTTTAGGTCTTCCTCAATAAAATTTAGATTATAACTATTTTTCATGAGTGGGCTATTTTCCCTTTTTCACTGTATAAACATGGTCTGGCAAGATTGCCTGAACAAATTTTGTTTTCCATGTCTTGAGGGCAGAAAACAAAAGGTAAAGACATTCACACTCCCTTTGTCTGTGTCAAAACCATGGTGTTTTTTTTGTGTAAGCACTGTCTGAAAACAGGGACTATGAATGTTTCTGGTAACTTTGGGAGACCGCAGAATGTATAATGTGAGCACAGTCCTTTATAACACACACAAGGGAAAGTTGTTTCTTTAAGTCGCCTTAAATTTGGGAGAAAGTTATTACTGAGCTGATGTTAATCAGTGGAACAGTTGTTGTCTATAACTAGGCAACTTTGTCTGCTTTTGTCTCTGGCCAATTGATAAAATAAGGTACTTTTTGATTGTTCCAGAGTCTGATTTGGTCTGATCTGGATGTTCTCATTCAAGATCCGTTTACTTGATTTGGGTACAAGGAGATGAAGAAATAACAAGACTGAGATGTGTGTGGGTCCAGCAGATCCTGAGAAAGCATGTTTGGGTTTTTTTATGTGCATATGTACAGAGCATTGAATAGAGTTGTAGCTCATTTGATTAGGAATTTTAATTGTACTTACATAAAATTCATTATTGTTATTTGCAGAGTTGAAGTTTGCTTTGTAAGATTTCAATTTCTGTAATATTATTTCACAGCAATACTAAGAGAACCTTGGACTCTTAAGACTGTTGCAAACATTGTTGCTAATAAAATTTTCCAGAAGAGACTTCAGGCATAGTTGTTACTTGCTAAAACAATTTGGAAAGATCAAAAGGCAAATCCTGATCATCTGTCTCCCTACTTCAAAGACTCTGATTATACAGGCTACATATTTAAATGAAGTGGTTCACTTGTAATAAGTTTCTGTTTGGTAGAAGCTCGTAAAGCCCTATAAGAGCTTAGGGAGTTGCTCTACATTGTACCATTGTGTGTTGTCTTTGGTGGGGATTTGATATTGTGATAGAAATTTCCTTGACCCCTGCATCCCACCCTGCTTCTCTCCTCTTTCCTCCCCACAGGTTATGTATTTGTCACTGAGCATTTGGAATACTTTTGCCTAAAGGAGCAATAATAACCAGAAAGTGGCTCCTGTTTTGTTTCTCAAGTCTAGTGAAAACTTGCAGTTGAAGAGGTGCTCTGCTGTCTTCTGTTCCCTGCAGGCCTAAATGTTTAGCTTTTTAAATGACTGACGTCTTACTGTGAATAGGCTCAGAGAAGAAATGTGACACATCCCATCATCGGTTGCTGGTAATTATTCTTGGCCAGTAAACCATGATGTCCAGGGACAGCCATTCTGGATTCTGCTGTCTGTTCTGTTAAGCAAATATGGTGAATAACCTGGAAAGCAGCCGCAAAATAAACTAGTGGATGCATAATAAATGTGTGTTTACTTATTACACTAACAAAAAAAATATTATCATAACAATTTGGGAGGTGGAGCAAGGAATCAGATCTCTTATCTGTCGTGGACACAATACCATTTATTATTATTACAGAGGTGCTAATTAGACCATCTACCACTGAAAAATAGGTTAACTCCTTGTGTTTTGAAGACACAATCTATTTGTAAGAAGATGCTGATTAAAATGGATTGCCAATCTGGAGGTGTACTGGTCGCTTCAAATTACAGGCAAGGTGGAGATTTTTATTTTTGTGAGAATGGCCTTTTTAAAGAATTTCATTACTTTTTCTTCCCTCATATTCTGATGTATTTTGTGTTCCCGGTTTGAGTTACTGATGGTGTCTCTCTTACCAAATTGTTCATGTTTATGAATGTACTATGTCTACCTAGCAATGAAATGCTAGGTAAGACTATCCATCACATCTCTGTAGTGTTTCATTGGATTCCTCTTTTAAAGTAGTTCTCTGTCTATAGAAGTAAATAAGGGTCAGTGACTTTGCACCTGTCTTGTTTTGCTTTCCTTGTGTTCTTCTCTTCACGGCAGCTTGCCTCGTTGCCATTGCAGTGAGGTGCTCAGCTAGAGCAACTCTCCGAAGCTTGCAGAAGAGAAGACCACGCCAGGCTCTTCTGTCTTTGCGTTCTGTTCACAGGCACATTCTTGACCTGGGAGGTAGCGAGCTGAGAGAAAGGAGCATTGCTGGAGTGCATTGGCTGATACTGGCACAAGGGAAGATCTGCCAGGGGGTCACGAAAGCAGTGCAGTCAGAGAGGCTGACCACGCAGCTGCAGTGGAGTGCATTGGCCAGAACAGGTAGGCTGAGTCTGTGAAGAAAAATGAAAGAAATATCTTCCCTGCTTTTTTTTTTTTTCCAGAAGACAAGGACTGCTCGAAGACAAAGACAAGAATTACTATCTTACCCAACTCTCCTGGAGTTTTTCTTTTCTTGCCTCTATTTTCAGGTACCCTCAAATTTTTCAGATTCTTTCTGGCATCCTAAATTGATTCACAGAATCACAGAGTAACACAGAATATTAGGAGTTGGAAGGGA